TTCAGTATGTACTATTGTGATTAGCTATGATTGGCCACAGCTAATCACAAGTTACTGATAGGCTGTGATGGGCCCTGTCCATACCATGTGATCACTGTGACCAATCACAGAGACAAGCACAACAGTGTATAATGAATGGCATGAATAGAAGCCATCCATTGTCTACAATTGTCATGTGATCTACTGTGATTGGTCACAGTGATCAAATGGTATCGTAAGTGGGCCAGTACATTAATCTGTCATTCTCAGTGTCCGGGTGACAGATCACGCTGCAGTGCGGACTTTGGGAGTTAAAGAATATGTAAACCCAACATTTCATATTTCTGATATGTGCCTGCTGCACCACATACTTGTATGAAAAAGTATCCTATTCTCTTTGTATTGCTTCATTTGTGTGAAATCCCTGGTGTTCCTGCCAGTCCCTCTGCTTTTCTATTAAAAACTGATTACACTAAGCAGGTGAACACACTGTGGTCAGTTGTCTAGCTATGCTGGGAACTCAGTGTGCTCTTCTCCAATGATCAGACTTATCCTAACCCCCCGCCACACACACACACAACCATTCACTTGGAATATCAGTGTGCTGCTATTTCTCTTCCCCTAGCTCTTACGCAGATGAGAACAGAGGAAATCCAATCACTTAAGAAAAAAGGGAAACAAGGTTTTTATATGTTTGTTTTTTATAGCTATACACAAATTTTGTGCCTTTCATTTCTATTTTAACAACGTGACAACTGAGCTATAGCTGAATGACGGCTATAGCGCGGTTGTCCAGTTCTGGAAGGGCGTCATATAACATTCTCCCAGAAAGTGCCCTCACTCGCGCCCCCGGTGGCGCACCCAGCGATCTCCGTATTCGCTGTGTCCTAAGGACACAGCTGATCACATGATGAGGTAAAAAGCCAATCACAGCGGCAGGGGTGGACTGACAACTCATGGGGCCCCCTGGCAATAGGGGATCATGGGGCCCCTGTGTCCTTGCCTAAACTCAAAAAAGCCTATGAAAAAGGTAACAGGGACATCTCATGGGGCCCCCTACTGACCCCGGGCCCTCGGGCAGTGCCCGGATTTCCAAATGGTCAGTCCGCCCCTGCACAGCGGCCTTTTACCATGTGATCAGCCGTGTCCAATGACACAGCAGATCACTGGTAAATACAGTTGCGGGTTATCGGCAGCACTTTCCTCACGCTGTCACAATGTGAGAAAAGTACTGCCGATAACCACCAATTGTCAGAGGAAGAATCAACACCGATCATCACTCATGGGGCCCCCTGGCAATAGGGGATCATGGGCCCCTGTGTCCTTGCCTAAACTCAAAAAAGCCTATGAAAAAGGTAACAGGGACATCTCATGGGGCCCCCTACTGACCCCAGGCCCTCGGGCAGTGCCCGGATTTCCAAATGGTCAGTCCGCCCCTGCACAGCGGCCTTTTACCATGTGATCAGCCGTGTCCAATGACACAGCAGATCACTGGTAAATACAGTTGCGGGTTATCGGCAGCACTTTCCTCACGCTGTCACAATGTGAGAAAAGTACTGCCGATAACCACCAATTGTCAGAGGAAGAATCAACACCGATCATCAGGGCACTGATGATCAGTGTTCTGATGATCAATTCCACCCACCAGTGCCACCCACCTAAGCCTAGCAGTGCTGCCTGCAAGTGCCCAGCAGTGCCACTCACCTGTCCCAATCAGTGCCTCGTAGTGCCATCCACCTGTGTCCAGTGGTGCCACCCACCAGTGCCTCTCATCAGTTCCACCCATCGTTGCTGCCCATTAGTGCCATCCGTCAGTGCGCAGCAGTGCCGCCAGTCAGTGTCCAGCAGTGCCGCCAGTCAGTGCCCATCAGTGCTGACCATTAGTGCCGCCTATCAGTGCCCATCAGTGCCGCCTATCAGTTCCCATCATTGTTGCATATCAGTGCAGTATCATCAGTGCCAGCTCATCAGTGCCACCTATCAGTGCCGCCTATCAGTGCTGCCTATCAGTGCCCATCAGTGCTGCCTATCCGTGCCACCTCATCGGTGCCACCTATCAGTGCCCAACAGTGCTGCCTATCAGTGCCCATCAGTGCTGCCTATCAGTGCAGCCTCATCAATGCACATCAATAGAAACAAAGAAAAACTTTTTTTGTTTATAGTGTAAAAAATAAAACATCCAGAGGCAATTAAATACCACCAAAAGAAAGCTCTATTTGTGTGAAAAATATTGTAAAAATGTCATATGAGTACAGTGCTGCATGACCGCGCAATTGTCATTCAAAGTGCGACAGCGCTGAAAGCTGACAATTGGCCTGGGCAGGAAGGGGGTATAAGTGCCTGGTAGGCAAATGGTTAAACTGAATGGGTTATTCTACAAGGTGAGGGTTTACAATCACTTTAACTCTGAATTCCACACATAAGGGCATTTCTCTCTATCTTTACTTCATGCAGCCAGTATAACACAATGAGCCATCAATAATAGCTGCCACAACAGACTAATGGGGTAGCTCATAAAACACAAGAATCTTTATACACATTTTACAGACCAGATGTTAGCACAAATAGTAACTATGAGAATAAGCTCTAAAATATTCATATGATATCACCTTGACAGTTTATAGTTTATTAAAAGCCACACCATGTGGAGATCCAATGTGCAACAGTCACACAACTCCAAGAGAGCAGTTTTTAAATGAGCTATGTATTGCAGTTCAAAGTATTCATAAGTTGAGGCATATTGAATACTAATGTCTAAATAATACAATTATTGTTCCCCCCCACCACGCCTCATTTCCCCTTCTCTTCCATTTCCTTTTTTCATTCTCTTTTTTTTTCCTGTTTCTTCTGCCCCTTTATTTTTCTCTTCTCTCCTCTTTATCCCAACTCTCACCCTTCCTATTCCCGTCCTTTTTGTTTTCTCTATTCCTTTGAACCCACCATACACCCCCCTCCCCCCAACCATTATCCACCCTCCTCCTACTTTTTTTTCTCCCCCCCCCCTTTCCCCTATTATATTTTATTTTTTTGTTGTTGCCATGTAGCTACTCATATTATCTCATCTATAATGTTAACAGTACTCCAGTTATGAGTTATGACTCAAATCTCCTTGTCCGTGGGCCCTTTTTTCATGAATTCTTTATTCCTTTTTTGTTTATTTAATGCTTTTACCCACTTGCCCTCCAAAGGATTTAACCCCCTTCCTGACCAGGCCATTTTTTTTGTTACAGTGCTGAGTTATTTTAACTGACACTTGTGCTGTCGTGCAACGCTGCACCCAAATTAAACTTACGTCCTTTTTTTCCCCACAAATTGAGCTTTGTCCGGACTTGAAGTGTATATGTAGGGAACTGTTATTTTATACACTAGTTGTGGTTTGTTGACATTCATATACAGCCACTACCATAGAGGTCCCATTACAGACAAGTCCCTAGGTGTGCTTCCTGCCCCTACAAGGAGGTCAAGAAACCCCAGGATGTTATATAGTTTGTTTTTTCCAGGAAGTATCAGGCAGAGGGTGCCAGCCTGCCATGTGCTATGTATCTGGGGAGAACTGTATGGTGATTCTGTGAGTAATGATCCAGATTAACAAGGCTGCTATCTATCTAGTTGTTACTGAAGCAGATTAAGTCTGCCTCTGTTATATTTCAACTTCTGTATTGGAACCCTAATATCTCTGTAAGAGAGAGATTTGTGGTTCATTATCATTATTCTATTCACACACTGCAGAATCCTTATAGTTGTCTAAATATATATATATAGATCAGTGTTTTCACCTGCATAAGACTGTCAGGTGAACTTTCTGTTAATTGCAGTGTATCTTTGCAGCCTCTTTGCTTAAAGCCATAGCACCCTTATTGGTCTGGATCTCTCTTTAGCTAGGATTAGCATAGGGAGCGTTGGATAGATTAGGCTAGAGGTAGGTTAGGCATCCAACGGCCACTTAGACAGATAGAGGCCCGGTTGCAGTGACAGCCCAGTTTAGGGATAGGGACTAAGAGTAAGGAGAGATAGAGCATTTTATCTTTTTAGGTGATGCATCGCTGATCTTCAGACAAACAGTGCAATCATCCGCATAGAACGTGTTACTTGGACGCCATCGCAGCATCTTAAGTGGAAGCGTGCATCTTATTGACTCTCACCTCTCCAGGGGCCCCTGCAACCGGACTGCGCTATAACCCATGGTTGGAGGTATTCTGTATACTACATGCACATATACCCGGGTATAATTGCAACCTCCCAATTTATGCTAAATTGTAATTCCTGAATGTTATTCTTATGCATTCTGTTTTATGTGGCTGCTTTATATAAACTTTGCATTAATCTCATACAGGTGTGGTGACATGTTTTCATGTTAGAAATATAAGCTGGGTGCATTAATACTGCTATGTATAGTTACTTTAAGTTGTCTACCTGTTACATTCCTAGAAAGGGGTGAGTCTCCTCAATTGCAGGATCCCTATTCTAGGTGGAGGGTACTGCCATTTGTATTATCACAACCCCCTCTTCCATATAGCGAAGGCTCACGATTGCCTACTCATATACAAGTTAGCGCCATAGCTTGTTTGGTGTGGGCCATTTCACATAACCCCCCCCCAAAACAGGGCTACATATATATAGTATATAAGTGTATATAGTGTATATAAAGACTTTTCTTTCTTGTCCCCCCCATCTTTAAGTCTAAGCTCTATTGGGTGAAATGCATTAGGGGAGGAGGATGGGGACACTTATGCTGGGTACACATGCTCCGAATATTGTCTGGTTCAGTAAGAACTGTATACAGCTGTCCTTCTGACAGATGGCAGTCTAAGGACCTACTTTTGTTGAAGGGACATGCTGGAAAACCAGCATCCGATTAGCACTCGCATCCAATGGCTGTGTGCGCTGGTTAGTGTGTTCTAGAGGAGGAGGATATTCCCTTGTCAGAACACAAAGGCACGGTGGCAGCAATCACTGTACTAACATCGCTTGTTTTTTTTTCCTTCAGCCCGCTGGGTTAAACAAAACCAAAAAAAAAAATTAACAAATGTGTGTACCAGGCTTAAGTTGTGGTTTTCAATGGAATACATTTTGTGACATCATTAACCTCTTGGCGCCGGCACCTCCCGGCCCTTTAAGAGTTTCAGAAGCCGGGAGGTGGGGCAGGGTTTTTTGGGTCATGTGACCGCCGTGATTCGCCATCACAGCGGTCACATGATTGGAAAAGGTCACGATTGAAAGGGGAGATCGGGACCTTTTCGGGAATCACGGACATACCTGCTGAGAGCACGCAGGGCACGCGCTCTCAACACATATGTCATTTCTAATTGCACGTAAATATGCGGCCACTCGGTGTCAAGGCCCAGACACCGAGAGGCCGCATACATGAGTGCAATCAGCGTCAAGGGGTTAATGTGCATCAAGGGGTTAATGCACAGTTTTCCTTCATTTTCCTATTGTGTTTGGAGCACACAGATAGTTCTGTTTCAGGCTTGCCACCCAACGTTCAGGAGACGGTGGGAGAACTGGCTTTGTGAGGATGGTGTATTATTTCTTCAAATCATTATCATCTGTCTCATTTATGATCCAGACAAGTGGGCTTGTGAGTAGATGTAAGAGTTGTATACTGGTTTGATCACCCTGATGGAATGCACCTAAATTTAGAGATATCAAAGACCATTTTGGAGGAATAGAGGTAGATTTACTAAAGAGAAATAGACTGTGCACTTTTCAACTGCAGTTGCACCGGAGTTTAGTAAATGAGGGGAAGCTCTGCTGACTTCCATCATCCAATCATGTGCAAGCAAAAATGCTGTTTTTTTTCTTATTCCTTGAATGTGATTGGGTATTGTTTGTAAAGTGAAGCTTTAACTCATTGACTAAGCTCTGGAGCAACTGTACTTACAAAATGCACAGTCTATTTGCCTTCAGTAAATCTACTTCATAGAGTTTATTTCTTTTTCTGATGTTAAAAATATCAAAAGCTTTCATCTCTAGCAAGAGAGATTGAGTTGAGGATCTTTCAAGAAGATTTTTACAAAACTTACCCTAATGAACAAGTTAAAAAAAAAAAAACTACTCCCACTGTTACTATACTAATATCCCTATTAATATAAAAAAATAATTTTAGAAACCAAATAGATTCAGATGCATACTATTAATAAAATCAATAATTTATACTCTGGATTGAGCTTTTGGGGGTGAATACTATTTTTTTTCCAAAAAAGCTTTCATTTTTAATTTAAATTTTCCCATTTATACCCACATCTTAACCGTGGAATCAAATCAATCACTTGGAACCTCAGGATAAGAATCCATCATTAAAGTGTTACTAAACCCACAACAGTAAAATCAGTCTGTATATACAGTAAAGTATGCTTACAATGCTCACTGTGGAACCTTAGGGGTTAATCCTCTTCATTGTGTAAAAAGGCTGTTTGATCCTTTCTTCTCTACCCCTCCTCTTGTTGAAATGATCACCTGATACAGACTGAATCTAGTCACATGCACATGCTCAGTTTGGTGTGTATTGCTAGAGAGTTTATTTTCTTGGGATTGTGCATGTGATCAGCACAGGGCCAATCAGCACTGTCCAGACAGAGGGTCAGGACTTTCACATCCTCCTTGAACAGAAAGAAAACTCCTCCTACAAGCTTTAAGCAGTGCTCTGCTGAAGTCACAAGACTGCTCAAACCGCTGATGAGAAAAGGCATATAGCAGTTTATATTTACTAAAATAATTGCATTTCCATGTTCTGTGTACTGTGGGATAACAGATATAGTGAATGCAGGGTCCTGGGTTTATTATCACTTTAAAGCAGAGTTCCACCCATTTTTCATACTTTACTTGATTATGTTATCCCTGTGAAATAAAGAACAAGTTGAATATTTTTTTTTAATATACATACCTTTAAATCCATTGCAAGCCTGCAGTTGCAGTCCCGGCCGCCTAGGCGATGATGTCATAAGTCGATTTGTAAGGTCTCCTGGGATGTCGTTTCCTGTATCCCAGGAGTCCTTTGGTTTCCTGTAATCGTGGGACTTAGAAACCAGAAATGATGCGAATGGGAGGAGTTTTGAGCCATATTTTCGGAGTCCAGATTACAGGAAGACGTGGATGTTGTATCCTGCTGCATCCTATGGCACCTGCCTGCTTCCGAGATCATGGTAAATTTGTAATAATTACTAAGTATGGTAATTACAATGCTTTTACTATTGAATTATTCCAATTGTTAATGCTACTTGAAAGGTCATCATGGATCTGCTTTTACCAAAAATGTATTAGGGGGAATGGAGCTCTTCTTTAAGCACTGCATTCTAACCAGATCAGATATTATCCTTTACATTTTTAGAAATTCTGAATGGAAACTGCATTTTTATCTGTTGACTTAATAAATCATTCATTCTCACGTTTTTTTCCTCACGTTTGTAAATCATCATGTCCAAAAACTGAATCTATTTTTGAATGAACTGTAAATCTAGTAATCGCATATTTCTTACGGAAAGACTCAACAAATTCTAGTTGTTTCAAATGTGATCCCACCCAATGCATAAATCTTTGAAACAATTCTCTCATATAGAAAAATGTCTCATCTTATGAAGAGATTTGCATATGAAGGGGCCACGTTCAACTTTGCCAGCATTCCAATATTCTGATCATGAATCAACATCTCTGTGATGCTGAAAAACCTGAACTAATCTCCAAAACAGTGGGAGAGATTTACTAAAGCTGGTTCACTCAGAATCTGGTGCAGCTGTGCATGGTAGTCAATCAGCTTCTAACCTCAGCTTGTTCAATTAAGCTTTAGGCTGGGTCCACGGATATGCGGTGCGGTATATCGCATGTGATTCGCACAGGAACCGCACCGCATTCCTGTGCAAATCACATGCGAATTATGTGCGGTGCGATTGGAGCCATAAATTTTATATGGCCGAAATCACACTGCATCCACACCAAAAAGGTACAGGACCCTTTTCTTGGTCCGCACTAGAATCGGATCGGGTATTCACACCCATGTGATATGATTCTTCACATCGCACCGCGTTTTGCTGACCGATTTTGGGGTGTTGTTAACTTAATATACAGACCCGTAGCGGTTCGCATGAACAGGGTATGATTCTGATGCAGTGCGGAATTCGCACAGAAAACGGTGCAAATTCCACACAGCATCAGTTTGAACCCAGGCTGAGCAATAATACCTGGAAGATGATTGAAGTCCATGCAGAAGTGCATGAGATTATCTCTAGTGCCTACTGGTATGGTGTGGTGTAGCTGTATAGGGCTTTCCACATACCAGAAGGCAAGAATCAGTAGTAATTGTCAAGTATTTAAATTGTGTTGTAAACCCTCAGACATACCACCAGAAGGGACTGGTCATCAGGCTTTCAGATACACAAAGATGAAGCAAATCCTCTTACAGCAGTTGTACCTGTTTATCTGCAGCCCTCTCTCTACAATTGTTTAAAGTAATATAGACAACATTGCCAAACTTCCAGAGGCAGAGAGGAGGATCTGATGTCACACACTGCACAACAGAGAGTACAGAGTGTAATCTGCAACCTGAATAAGAGGAAAAGCCATGCCCCCCTCCACACAGTCTCTTAGAGAAACATGCACAGCAGAGGCTGTAAATCACCTTATATGTGCTGGAGGGGGGCCTGAACCATCTCCTGGGAATACATTGTGTTGGCATAGATTGCCAAAAATGACCCATGCAGATGCTGTAGGAATAGAATGACAGAACAGACATAAATCACAATAGGTGTTTTGGGGTGCGGCAAGTGCACAGTATAGTAGGATATGCTTTGTTCATTTTTCATTTCAGGGGTTTACAACCACTTCAATTTGCTCAAGATACATTTCAGAAATCTTAAACTCTGCATGGACACCTATGGTCCAAGAATAGCATCTAGATATTGACCAAAAGGGAAAAACTACTGATTCAGTTTTCAAAACTTATGAACTTATGGCATCATCATGTCATAGAGCACAGTATGGGTATGCTAAGGACATCATACCACACAATGGAACTTGGATCTGAATGATGTGGCTGCTGCTGTACTGCATGACTTCATTAGTATGCCAGCTCTGTGGGTCATAATGTCATTGCACCAAAGTGCACAGAATAGGGGATATAAATGAGAGCAACATTTAGGATGGCTTCGTAAAACACCTGGAGATAGGGAAGCCTTAATAGAACATGGCGAGATTGGAGATTCCTATTGGAGCACATTAAGTTTTTGGATGTTTTCAAATTAAGACAATGAATTAAACAATTTTTCCTTGTATCTGTTTCCTTGTTATATATAATTATGGATCTTCAAGGGTACAGCTAAGCAATATGTGTGGGACAGTTATTGGGATAGTTGGCTTCATTTACAACTTTGCCCAAATACATTTGCAGTTGTACAGTATATAACACAACACTATTAACCTCTTTGGTGCTGGCCGCATGCAAATGTGTGGCCCCCGGTGTCTTGATGCCGAGCGGCCGTACATTTGCGTGCAATTAAGAAAAACATATGTGCTGAGAGTGCGCGCCCTGCGCACTCCCAGCACAAGTGTCCAGTACTCACGGAAAGGTCCAGATCTCCTCTTGCGATTGGGACCTTTTTCGATCACGTGACCACCGTGACAGCGAATCACGGTGGTCACATGACCCTAAAACCCTCCTACCTCCCAGCTTCTGGAACCCTAAAGGGCCGGGAGGCCCCTGCGCCAAGTGGTTAAAGCAGATGTTTACTCTTTCAATCAACATTAACTATTTTAATCCTTATGCTGCTAGCCTTAGTAAATAGATAGGAAGGTAAATTATATTTATTTGTTTTAAACTGTTTTGTTTTACATTTTTTCATTTACCTCCTGGTTTCTGGCCTAGGCTGAAATGATGTCATACACCCAGGAGTCTTCATTGGCATTTTTTTCTGTCATTTGGAGGAGGGGGCTTTCTCAGGTAAAAACACCATTCTGCCTGCATGTCTGGCCTAAGGGCAGATGGATTCCAGGAAGTAAATGCAATATGAATCATCTGCCCTTATTTAAGATTTGCTGCTGCTAGAAATGCTAGAGGGGTGTTTTTCAAAGTGATTTGAAAATAAAGCACAGAGGCATGAATGGATTGGTGAGTTTGCTTGAATGTTAAAAATGAATCAAATAGCATTTTTAGTTTGTGATAATATTTGAAATGGGAGCTTGACTGGTTTGTACTGCCATGTGTTTGCAATAAAAAGAGCTTGTATTGTGAACAAAGAGCTGTGTGCAAATGTATTATGTTGTTCCATTCTTTAGACTGCTTGTATATACACAACAACAATTCCTACACAGAGATTTGATTTGTCATGAAGCCTGTGATTCTTTTGTGCCTGGACAAATTTCTAGATTTTGTTTACTATGATTCATACTTAAAGCAAATATGTTGGGGAAAAAAATCTGTTACAAAATACCTTTAGTCAAGGCCAGTGCTAGACTATTTTATCACCCTAGGCAAGACCAGCTACTTGCTCCCCACCCCCCAAAAAAAAATAAATAAATACTTAATTTTAAAAACAGTAGAAAATAATAAATCAACAAACCATTTCTAAATTTTTTTTAATTTGCAAAAATAAGTGCCATAAAATGCCACCAGCAATATTAAAGACAAAATCAGTGTCACGGATAGACTGTATCTGTGGCAGGCAGTGGAAGGGTGACAGTGGCAGGGAGTGGAGGATGATGGATCCATACTCTGACAGATCCCAGGCTGGAATTTCCCAGGCAATGGGGGGAGATAAAACGCTGTGACAGCAGGCAGCTGAACTGAGCATTCCCACGCAGTGACAAATCTGACACAACACACCACCACCAACACTGACCAGCAGGCCTAGCAGGCACTAGAAGACATTAGAAGAACAGGCTGTGGGATCATCACAATGTCATCACTCACCGACACATTGCACATGTGGTGGATGTCCGGCCGGCCTGGTTACACTCGCACAGAGTCAGACATTACCTTCCTGCGCAGGCACAGCTCCACCTGTGCTGATGAATGGAAAGAGAAGGGCTGGAACTCCACAGTTACCAGCAGCACCAGCCGGCCAGCCTGAGAGGCTTGGCAGCAGTACCCAGAGACATCTTCCTCTGTCCTTTTTCCTCCCCTCTGTTGCCCCTCCTCTCAGCTGAAGGATCATTCATGACTTGGCAGCACCCCACACAGAGACAGCGATGGCCTGAGCTGCGCCCAGCCACCCCTAGGTGGCAGTGTTCCCTATGCGGCCATCTAGTGAAAGCACTGGCCCTGCCTTCAGCAACAAGTAATCTTTGGTGCTATGGCCGAATGCTGAGTTATTCTTAACTGCAAAGGTTCCAATAATTTCTGGATGTGTTAAGGCTTGTCAACCTCATCCTGCATGCACTATAATCCTATTGGTCATTTAGGCAACCTATCATAATGACGGACTAATAGGAATGTGTGGGATAGGAGAAAGCTGCTAAGCTTTGACACTAGTAGAAAGTGTTAGAGCTTTGCAGATCAGCACAGTGTAGCACAGGGGAGTGCATACTGTTTAAAGCAGGGGCGGACTGACAACTCATGGGGCCCCCGGGCAATAGGGGATAATTGGGGCCCCTGTGTCCTTGCCCAAACTCAAAAAAACCTATGAAAAAGGTACCAGGGGCATCTCATGGGTCCCCCTACTGACCCCGTGCCCTCGGGCAGTGCCCGAGTTTCCAAATGATCAGTCCGCCCCGGCTCAAAGTATTTTCAGACTGCTCTTGCTTCATCATTTATTAGTCATGTAGTAGTCACTGGTGCACACTCATCACTGGGGAAGTTTTTATAAACACTTTTTCCTGGTCAATGTGCAGCACCCAGACAGAATAAAGGTTAGTATACGCGGTCATTAAAAGTAAAGCAAATGCAGTACACTTTTATGTGTTTTTGGAGAAAAATGGCTAATATTCTAGATGCATTTGAAATGCTTTGTATTGCTGTGTTATGCATTCAGATTGCCCTAAACCTCACATCTCACAAATGAATGTCAGAAAAATCTATTAAATAAATAAACCAATTAAGTAATTAACCACTTGCCTACAGGGCACTTTTACCCTCTTCCTGCCCAGGCCAATTTTCAGCTTTCAGCGCTGTTGCAGTTTGATTGACAATTGCACGGTCATGCAACACTGTACCCTTATGAAATTTTTATAATTTCTTTCCTCATAAATAGAGCTTTCTTTTGGTGGTATTTTATCACCTCTGGGGTTTTCATTAGTTGCACTATAAACAACAAAAAGCAAAACATTTGAAAAAAAAGGTTTTTCTTTGTTTCTATTATAAGATTTTGCAAACAGGTATTTTTTCTACTTCTCTGATGTGCATTGATGAGGCTGCACTGATAAGCAGCACTGATGGGCACTGATGAGGTAGCACTGAGAGGGAGAACTGATTGGCACTGATAGGCTGCACTGATGAGGTGACACTGATGAGGCGGCACTGGTGGGCATTGATGAGGCTGCACTGATGCTGCTGCACTGATATGCAGCACTGATGGGCACTGATATGCAGCACTGATGGGTACTGACTAGTGGCCCTGAATGACAGCGCTCACTGGCAGCACTGCCTGACAGCACTGACTGGCGGCACTGATGGACGCAACTGCTGGGCACTGCTGGGCGGCACTGCTTGGTAGCACTGCTGTGTGCAACTGATGGGTGGAACTGCAGGGCACTGCTGGGCACTGATGGGTGGCACTACTGGGCACTGATGGGCCCTTTGCCAGTTATCGGCACTACTTTCCTCAAGCTGTGACAGTGTGAGGAAAGTACTGCCGATAACAAGCAACTGTATTTACTTTGTGATCAGCTGTGCCATTGTACACAGTTGATCACGAGGTAAAATGCCAATTGGTCTTTTACCTAGTCATGTGATCAGACACGAAATGTGATTGGTCTTTTACCTAGTCTTGTGATCAGCTGTTCATATGACACTCTCCCAGAACTGGACAACCACCCTGCAGCTGTCTTTTGGCTATAGTGTGGTTGTAAAGTGGTTAATACCTACTGTATGCACACAAATACTGACACTGCTTGCAGCAAACGTTTGTGATCATACTCATTTGTGCTGCGTTCATGCCTAAAACCACTGGATTAGCTTATTGTGTGTTGAAATTTTTTGTAAAAGATTTTTTTTGAAATTGCATATGTGAACTAAAGTGTTACTAAACCCAGGGCTCTGCATTCACTATATCTGATCTCCCACTGTACACAGAACATGGAAATGCAATTTACAGTAAATTGATTAATTATTGCCTCGACCTAACTTTAGGGCGCGGCAATAATTAATCAATTTACTGCATATTACTACAAAACACATTTATATGAGGATGTGAATAGATGCCTGCTGACCTATATATTTAATTGCTATCTCATACCTCAGTAGCTCACAAGTAATTATATAATATATATTATGGGAATGCAATTATTTTAGTAAATATAAACTGTTAAATACTTTTTGTTATCAGCAGTTAGATCAGTCTTGTGTCTTCTATCAGTGTCCATCAGAGCACTGGTTAAAGCTTGTAGGAGGAGCTTTACTTCTCCGCTGAGTGTCCTGTGAGGCTATATAACCAATGACCCTCTGTCTGGACAGTGCTGATTGGCCCTGTGCTTATCACATGCACTCTCCCAAGAAAAAAAAAAAGAAAACTCTCTAGCAATACACACTAAACTGAGCATGTGTGGCTTGCCCCCAAGGCTCTGTTCTATCAGAGGATGGATTGGGGACAGAAAAAGAAAGGGAGGGACAGAAAAGACAGGATCATCCTTCTTCCACAATGTGGAGGATTAACCACTTAGGTTCCACAGTGAGTATGACAAGCATGCTTTACTGCATATACAGACTGATTTTACTGTTGTGGGTTTAGTAACACTTTAACTAAAATGATGAATTGGAGGTCAGCTTATGGGACTTTGTTCCAATTAATTTCAACATAGTGCACTGATTTGAACAGGTTCTCTTAAAGATAATGGGTTTGATTTAATTTAAGGGGAAATGAAAGAAAGCAAGCATTAAAGAGTTGCACTGCGAGATTGCATGAGTTTACAGATGTACCCTGAATGCTCACGTATGGTGTGATCTCAGTTTATAGTGGGAGAAAAACGTCTAAATAATTGTGCTTTTGTGCCTTCTGTTCTGAAAGGGAGCACCAAAAAAAAAATTTGAAATGAACATGCACCAAGCAAAACAATATGTGTGAGCGAAAAAGGCAGTGTTCTATGGATATTTGTAACTGTAATTTAAGCAGCAACATATGAAATTATGTATGAGCTCTTGCACATTTTCACATGCATGCCGCAAAACCCCCAGTACAGAATGTTCTCTGGATTTTAGACTATCTATAAAAACATGCTTTGCAAATGTCTCAGCATTCACACAAAAGTCACAAATAATACCCATAATGCTCTCAATATATGAAAAATGTCAGTTTGTATTTGTTGCTTTTCACATGGTGAATGTAACATTCCCTAGTATTCGATCCTAAGAGAAAAAAGGAACATTTAGACCAGATGGGTTGAAAAACATTCAACCAATAGAGAAAACTGCCTACCACTATAGGCAAAAAACATTCAACCAATAGAGAAAACTGCCTACCACTATAGGCAAAAAACATTCAACCAATAGAGAAAACTGCCTACCACTATAGGCAAAAAACATTCAACCAATAGAGAAAACTGCCTACCACTATAGGCAAAAAACATTCAACCAATAGAGAAAACTGCCTACCACTATAGGCAAAAAACATTCAACCAATAGAGAAAACTGCCTACCACTATAGGCAAAAAACATTCAACCAAATAGAGAAAATTGCCTACCACTATAGGCAAAAAACATTCAACCAATAGAGAAAATTGCCTACCACTATAGGCAAAAAACATTCAACCAATAGAGAAAACTGCCTACCACTATAGGCAAAAAACATTCAACCAATAGAGAAAACTGCCTACCACTATAGGCAAAAAACATTCAACCAATAGAGAAAACTGCCTACCACTATAGGAAAAAAACATTCAACCAATAGAGAAAACTGCTTACCACTATAGGCAAAAAACATTCAACCAATAGAGAAAACTGCCTACCACTATAGGCAAAAAAACATTCAACCAATAGAGAAAACTGCCTACCACTATAGGCAAAAAACATTCAACCAAATAGAGAAAACTGCCTACCACTATAGGCAAAAAACATTCAACCAATAGAGAAAACTGCCTACCACTATAGGCAAAAAACATTCAACCAATAGAGAAAACTGCCTACCACTATAGGCAAAAAACATTCAACCAATAGAGAAAACTGCCTACCACTATAGGCAAAAAACATTCAACCAACAGAGAAAACTGCCTACCACTATAGGCAAAAAAACATTCAACCAGAAAAGGAAATATTATTATATACTCCCCACCAACAGTGTAATGATTCAGCTACTGTAGAGAGTGAACTGCACTAAAGTATCGATACAATGTTGTCCAGAGATGATATTTTTTTTTTTTGGTGATCTTTTGCTCATCTGTGTGGATTTCAGTTCAGTAAACTTAGCAAACAATTGAGTACTATATATATATATATATATATATATATATATATATATATATATATATATATATATAAATATAATTTTTTCAGTATTTTCTATAAGTCCTCATGCACACTGGACATTTTTACAGCTGCTGTTTTGGGCTTTTGATGTTTTTTTCTACAGCCAGTAAACTCCCCAGCATGTTATCCTATGTGTCCAATTCACACATAGACTGTAATCAATGTTTTTTTGGCAGGAACGTTTGTTGGCTGGAAAAAAAACCCAGGACTAGTGGGCTTCTAGAGGAGTTTTCTAGCTGTAAAAACTCTCTAACGCTGGAAAATGAGGGAAAACACCACAGACCGGCATTTTTGGCCATTTTTTTTTTTACCAAAAAAATTTTTTTTGTGTGAAAAAATACTAGAAAAATTGCAAATGCGGAAAAATGCAGGAAAATGCTGCTAAAGGTGTCAAAATGCAGCTAAACGCTAATGCAAAAAAGCTAAAAAAAGCTGAAAAACTCATGTTTTAAATGTGACTTTACACAGCTAACGTTACCAGCGTTACCAAAACGTCCAGTGTGCATGGAGCCTAAATATCTATATTTCATAGAAACGATACCTTGGGATCTTGTCATGAAGGTCCTTGTTCAGTCATTTCTTATTACGGGGTGACAACTGTCTCCCAGCTGTGCTGTCACATGATCCTTCATAGAGCCTCTCCAGAGCAGGGGCGGACTGACAACTCATGGGGCCCCCGGGCAGTAGGGGATCATGGGGCCCCTGTGTCCTCACCCACACTCAAACCACACCCAAAAAAGCCTATGAAAGGTACCAGGAGCATCTCATGGGGCCCCCAGGCAATAGGGAGTCATAGGGGCCCCTGTGTTCTCACCCACACTCAAACCACACCCAAAAAAGACTATGAAAGGTACTAGGGGCAAATCATGGGGCCCCCTACTGACCCGAGTGCCCAAATGGTCAGTCCGCCCCTGCTCCAGAGTAATGGCAACCCAGGACCCTGTGATGGACTGTTGTATTAGTAGCCAATGTGTAGCTCCCATGTCAAAAGAAAGTGACTTAAGATGGGTATACAGTAATGCAATTTAGAACGAAAATTTAG